TTTTATAACAACGGTTTCTCCCCTGTTCCGTAAGTTAAGGTTTTGACAAAAATTTCAAAATCATTTCTGAAGAAGCATAAAGTGTACCAACTAATTTTTAACCGTACTTGAACCCTTGGAAAATAAAAAGTATGTCGAATCGAAAAGGCAACTGGTATAAATAAAATAACTGGCATAATAAAAAAGATTGTGTTGATATGAGCCGTTATCGTACTTCAGCGATATGTCTCGCATGAACTAAATTTAATGTTGTTTTGCTGTTACATGCTAAAATTTTTACGACAACAAAACAGCAGAGTTGGAACGTAACGAGCACAGCAGTGGCGAATCGAAGACAGCAACACAGCGTGCTAACTTAACATACTTAATTGAGCCCGCAATAAAACTCAAGCTATCAACATAGAGTTCTATAACCGCTACATTAGCAAGAAATTAATTGAAGAAAAGCAAATAGGAACTAGTAAAGTGCAAATGTAAAGCTTTCTTCCACCAGTTGAGCGCATTTAATGAATTATATTCCTTGCGGGTGTTGGACGAGTGAATTTCATATGAAAAATCAGTATTTTCAATTAAAAATTCGCAGCAGAATTGCGAAAGCTGTGTGGAAAGAGAGATTCGCGTAGCGATGAGGGGTTTATTTCGCAGAAAGTGGGTCGCCAACGGCGGCAGACAATGCCACAGAGTGGAGGGAGTATGGGTAAACAAGTAATTTCATGCAAACGGCTATCTGATTAATACACAGGCAAACGGATACATACATACATATATATGTATATAATAAAAAATAGTTTCAATTATTTATGGATAAAAAAATATGTGTCTACATACAGACATACATTCATGTGAAAAAAATGACGAGTTAAATGTTCGCTTGTGTAACCCGATGCTTAAAAAAATTAGTTCAACTTAATAATTGCGATTGGCGTTTAAATTTGTTTTTTTTAATTAAAATTTTTTTTTTTTGTTTGCTTAAAGGGTTAATGGTGTTAATCGTAGATCAAATTTAAATTTGATGTGTGTCTTTAATAGCATTTTTTTTTAACTCTTCTGCTATGAATTTTAAGTGGTTTAGCTGTAAAGCTAATTTCAAGTCATAATTATTTCAGTCTCTTTTTGTTATAGTTTATAATTTTAAGCGTAAGCGTATATTTTAAATATATATTTTAGAAATACACAGTAAAGTTTTAAAAAAAACAAATTTTAATATATTTCACCGACGACGCTAAAACAAAAGTACTGCACTGTTGCAGAGATTTCAGCCTTCGCCGAAACGTAAAAGAAAATTCTCTACCAGAAGATATTGTCCGTAAAATGATCTATTGTCGAAAAAATCAAAAATTTACAAAATAACGGCATTTAAAAAATTAGGATTTTTAAAAAATTTCGGTCCTTTTTGGTCTGACAAAATTCGGTTTTTGTTCATATAAAAAACTGGCAGGCCATTATAAGCAGAGCTCTCTCTGTTGTATATATAGTACATGCGAAAAAATGTTATAGCAATCGGAGCTCTGGTGTCTGAGTAATCACTTAAGCAAATTTAAAAAATGTAGTTTTGAAAAAAACGATAAACTAAAAGATAAACTAATAGCGCTGCTTGTATTTATTACAGATTTAGAAGGTAGTAACGCCAAACTACTCGAGAGATCGTTTTAAAATTTTTGTATGTTGGTTTTAAAGGTATAACCTATTCAAATATGTATAAATCGATTTTATCTGCCTCTTAAGAATAACTTAACCCTATTATTTTTTATCTGTATCTTTATCGGCTTTTGGAATATGAACTGTTAAGTACCTTTCTTAGACGTTAATGCAAAGTACAGTACCACACAGTGCGAAATTAAACCATTACTTGCAGAGTAGAGCAGCAGTTTTTCAAACATATTTGTAAACGAAAACAATAAACATATAAATAATGTAATATAATCAATATATAATATATAATAGTGCATATGAGTAAAGATACATACATAAACCAACATTAAATGCAACGCGAATGTAGCTTTTGGCGACAGCTGCCGACGCGTCCAAATATTCCCAACGTAATAAAGATAAACCCATTTGGCCTGTCAGCATTTTTTGGGGTGTGAGATTGCTGCCCGCGGCTCCACACAGTTTTGTTTGAATCGCCATTTTTTATTTTCAAATTTGTATTTATTTTTTTTTTATTGTTATTTTTCACACTAGTGCTGTTTTCTTTGCCACTTTGGCGCCCAGTACAATTAATTCAGTTGTATATTTAAGCAAATGTAGATTGAAGCGTACACACATACATACTACATACATTCTACATACCTTTATGTTTGTAACGTTGTTTGTGTGTGTGTGTGGCTGGGAAAATAAACCGCAACAACAGCTTTTAGGCTCGTGAACATTGTCGCGCTCACACGCACCTCATCATGCATGTATGTATATTTGTGCGCGTGTGTGTGTTCTACAGTGGCAAAAACTTGCTTTAGTGTACAGAAAATGGGCAATATAGCAAAACACTATAAGAAATTATTTATTGTCAGCACAGTGTTGCCAGATTACTGTCAAAAAATACGAAAATCTTGCAATCTAAATTACTCTTTAGTATTAAAGTCGGGTGACATTAAGGGGCACCGTTTATCGCTAAACGCGTTTTTCTCGCAACAGTATTTTCGAATTAGCTGAAGCGATTAGTCGGGGACAATTGATCATCCTATCGCTACCAAATTTTACCAGTAGCAAATTTAATTTGGAAGCACAAAAAACGACCAAAATTATTTTTCTTTAGTTATAGTTTCTTTTTGAATTCTAAAAAATCACCTTCTTTATGCTATCACACACGTAACATATGCACAGTGGTTTCGCCCATAGGCCGAAAATAAAAACTTTGTGTCAAAAAAAGGAAGGAAAAAGTAATAAAATTGTTTCTAAGAAACCCAAACTTCTTTATGACAAACTTTTTTTCTGGGAATCTAACGAGACTTTCTAAAAATAGCATAAAAATTGTGTTCACTTATTAATTTTTTAAGCAAAATTGAACGGAGAGCGAATATTTCACAACAAAAGCCAAGTTCAAATTGGTGAGGAGATTTATTACGTTTACGAATTTAAATTATTTTTAAGGGGTTTTGAAGTTAAAGATATTTATTTTATGTTACATATTATATTGTATATAAATGTTGTCCTTGGTTTATTTTTCTGTTATCACAACCTTGTTGAGTACCAACAAGCAATGCAAATATTCTTAAAAGTGTGTATTTTACTTTTTTGTTGTATTTTTAATAGTAAAACCAGTTTCCCTTAAAATAAAAAAATTTAATAAAAATTGATCAATCCGTTACTGACTGTTACTATGAGAGCTATAGATAATAGTCGTACGATATGCCCAATTTTTTATGGTATATTTATCATATTTTTGATGAAAATTTCGAAACGAAGGCTCATCTAAAAGTATTAATGGCCGCGACTCGCATATAAACGAAACCACTGTGCTATGTACTGTTTGAGGATTTTTATGTTACATATATCAAATAGCATCCTAACTACAGCACTGGTTATAAATATTCGCATACAAGTGTAGATGGGATGTATGTATATGGTAGTATAAGCTTTTGAGTACAGCAATTTACCTTCAAACTCCTCGCGCACACACACATACACATACATACTATATTCGCTGTCACTCGTAAATGCCGAGTAACCTTTCGGCGTAATCCCATGCAAATGCACCTGTCTGTGTTGGCTCGTTCTCGCTTTACCGTCGGCCGACTGGTTAGCTCATTGAGTGCCTAAGTGTCTGGCTGACTAACGGACTAACCCACTTGACTAGTTGACTAACTGTCGAGTGGTCGAGGACGGCCGTGCTGTGTCACTGTGTCGCCATTGTCTGTTGCAAAAGTTCACACCAGCACAGTGGTCGCGTTGCATGAAAATTTTGCAATTGTTATAATTTTTTCTCATCTGTCGCTTCATCCTGCTTTTGGGTGCTTGTTATTGTTGTGGTTGTGTGCTAGTATTTATTTGTTGTATTGTTGTTGTGCTGTTGTCACCATTGTTAGTATTTTGGCATAAATAAATTCTTGCAACATTGTACAAATAGCGGCGGATTAAAGTCTTTACCCCAGTGAGTGCAACATCCTGGAACATACACCCACACACACACATACACATGCGGTCACAAATTTGCCCAAAATAAGTTGTGCAATATCCCTACTTATGTCGTCGCTTGCCACACACACACACACACACACATGCAGCGTTCCACTTGTCGGCATCTATTTTTGCAGCTGTTTGCCGCACAACATCGTTGCTGTGCAACATTTCAGGGATTTCCTTGCTGACGTCTGAAGTGACTTAAATTTTTTATAAACATAAAGTATTTCTTGTGGCACGAGCTTTCTGCCTGCCATAATGTGCCACAGTGCTTTGCATGGGTGCAGCAGCAGCTATAAGTGCTGTGAACTCGAGCTACTTGCCAAGCTACTCAGTGTGTTGGGGAATTTAGTCGTAAAATGTGTGGCATTTACCACTGCATTTGTGGCACGTCACCCAGCCATTTGCTGCAGCTCTCATTTGCCACATCTGCATACACATACATACATGTGGGCTCACATGCCTCATATGCACGGCGTTTTTATGTGCCACCAGAGATGTGGCACTAGCTTGGATGACGCATTTTTTTATTATGTGCTTGTGTGCGTGCGTGTGTGTGGTGAGGTACGAAAAAGTTTATTGCCGACTTAAAAATGTATTGTTTGATGCCAGTAATACCACCCACATACATGTCTATCTACAAATAGTACCATATATGTATATGTACCGTTAAGTTTGATTACCCTCATTTAAATATAGCGTTAATTAGCTGCCGCTTGCAGGTGAGAAACGCAGTAAAAGTGTTCAAAAAAAGTAGCATGTCACCTTTGCAACCACCATTCTTTATATTACTCAATGTTTAATTCAATATGAACAATTTTTTTTTTTTTTGTTTCGAACAAATAAATAATTTTCTTTCTTTTTCTTTTACTATGCTATAGGCAAACCATCAAAAGTCATCCACTTGCGCAACATTCCAATTGAGTCCAGTGAAGCAGATGTCATCTCATTAGGTGTACCGTTCGGTCGCGTCACAAATGTGCTCGTCTTGAAGGGCAAAAATCAAGCTTTCCTCGAAATGGCCGACGAAGTATCCGCGACATCTATGGTCTCATGCTATACCGTTACACCGCCACATATGCACGGACGCATGGTTTATGTACAATTCTCCAATCATCGCGAATTGAAGACGGACCAGAGTCACAACAATGTGAGTACTCAATGAAAATCTAAATTCATTTGATCTATATTATATATAGTTTATATATTTCTCTGGCGATATATGTTTAGAATTGCGCTTATAGCGCTCAATGACTACATACATAACAGTAATTATAAATCAGAGATAAACTTTGGCGTTTAGAATCAAAAAAATGCATATATCAATACTCGCGCGAATATTTTATCTCAAATGATTTTTCGAGAGTCTACAAGTCTAAGAGGCTCCAGCTGCAGCTATAGGGCTAACTCAGAAAAGAGTTAAAATTCTTTAAGAATCTCGCAACATTCGAAATTACCGTACTTGGCAAACAAAAAGTATTTTAACTGGTGCTTGTATAGATTTCTTAAATAATTCGAAGCGTTAGATATAAAGCCCGTAGACTGGCCGTACATTAAACGCATAAGACGAGGTCAGCTTTTACTCAAGGGTCACACCTAGTGTGACAGCCTAAATACCAATAAGCTATTTTTGGTGAATATTTTTCGAGTTACACGCGTGCTCCGATGGCACTAAAAAAATATCCTAGCTTGATGCAGTGATTCCGGTCTTCTCCGTGAATGAAATTTATAAATCAAAAACATTTTTTACTAGAAGATATTGTCCGCACAATAACCTATGGTAGAAAAAAAATCCAAAATTTTTGTGTTTTTGGTCTACCAAAATTCGAACTTGATCAGAGAAGAACTATATATACAGATTGAAAACTATATACACAACATGCAGAAAAAAGTTGATTGTCCCCGAGTAATCACACAAGCAAATTTGAAAAATGTAGTTTTGAGAAAAATACGTTTAAGTATAAATAGATGGAGCTGATAGAACTGATTAGTAGGCTGTAACTCAAAATTTATTTCGAATATTTTTATTAAATATATATTTTTTAATTTTAGTATGTCATTTTTTAAAGTTATAACCTATTGAAATATGAAACAAAAAACAAATATATATATATATATAAAAGAAAAATTTTGAATTGTTATAGTTCAAGGTACTGATATAAATAAAAATAAAATATATATATAATATTTTTTTTTGTTATTCAGCACTATGTGCGCGCCTTAATTTGGTTTATTTGTGGTTAGTTTTTGGGATATGTTTCTCTACTGTGCCGAATTTTTAAAAAATATTCAAGTAAAAATCGAAATTAATTCCAAAATTTTATCAAATCAATCTAAAATATTATATATAATTTTTTATTTAAAACAAAAATAAATTTTCGTTTTTACCCTGGACCTCTTTAGTAAAATTGTTGTGATATAATATTGTCTATTATAGTTATTATTGTGATATCCAAACATAATTCGCTATTTAAATTAATATTTTTAGAAAATAGTAGCAATAATAGCAAATAGTATCCTGCACACAAATTTATTACTCAACACACACAACTGTGGTAAAGAGTAAATAATACAAATGAATATTCACACAAGCACGAAATGAATACCTACGACGGCTCTTTAATTTAAATATTCCAAAACAATCCAAATATGGATAAAACCATAATTTAGAGCGTTAGCGCTCAATAATGTCATTTGTCAACCAACACAACAACAAAGCTGGGATTTGTGTGCGTCCGTCGGTTGTTTGCCAAAAGCACCGCAAAAGGTGACAAACTCGACACTTTTTAATTAATCACAATTTGTAACAAATTATACTCAAAGCATTCTCTAAATCTCGCACGTATTCTACACATACACAGACACAACACACACGCCCATACATATGTTGGGCATCGAACGCTTTATTGTACGTGCCACACATCGTTTAAATTCGAAATTTTCGTTCGTTATTTGGGTTTCAACCCACGAAATGTCACCGTAATTTGGAATTTAAACCAACACGTTTTGAAATACTGCGCTTGGAATTAAAACAAATGCTGCGTTGTTGTTGTATTTGCGTAGAGCCACACACGTTTGCGAGCGCTTAACTGTTCGACTTTGTTGCTGTTGTCTGCTTGTCACCTGGCTGCGTTTTAAGCGAAGAGGTCAAAGGATATCTATCCGAGCGCTTGTGGTTGGGTGTCGGCGCTGTTTGCTAAGATGCCGCACCAGGCCAGTAAGTCAGTCACGCAACAACCTGCTGTCAGGCAGACACTGACAGACGGTCCGTCAATCAGCCAGTGTGGACGTCAAAGTGTTTTTGATTATAAGTATGTGTGCAAACACATTATAATATGTGAACCCACATGAGTGGCAGTCTCGTCTTGTTTTGTTAGGGCGCTATGCCTTTCCTTGAATGAATTGGCATGTGTAAGTTGTCTTCTCAGGGTGGAAGAAAACTGGCAGTATGTTACATGCCACTGATTACAGCTAACATGTTGGATTGATTTATTTGAATATGCCTTCTTTATTATTATTATTATTATTTTTTTTTTTTGTTGATTTATTGTTATTTGCTGCCCATTTTTCCTCTTAGCGCATATCTGCTGAGTTAGATAAAATTTATATATTATATTATTGTAGTATATTATGCATTAAAACTAAAAAGAACGAACTAACTGCAGATTACAAAATATATTTACCAGTTTATAGAAAATCCAAAATTTAAGCTCTCAAAAAGCTTCTTTTCTAATATAAACTTCTTTCGTTGCATGTAAATTTTTTATTTTTGTTTTTTGTTTTAATAATATCTCAACAGTTTGTGTTTTTTTATGCTCTTGCAACATGCTTTTAAATATTGTTGCTAAGTCCACTTAGGGCGAGCCGGAATGAGCTTGCCCACTAAATGGAAGCACAAATTAAACCTAACAAATATATTTGCAATAAGATATATGTACACATACGTTGTTCGTTTCTATTTCTCACCAATCACTGTTGTGCTCTATGTTCTATATCTATTGTATTTATATTGCTTAATTATTATCGCACTTAACCCTATTCTGTCTAAGGAATATTGCATGAAGCGCATGAAATGGTCATATCCATTGAAGTAAAGTCATTATAAATTATTTCACTTTAGTTAATTATTAAAAGTCAGTAAAGACATTTTTAGCTATGAGTAGTTATAAATAAAGTATAAACTATATTGTTGTAACCGATATCAAAAATTCACCATTAGTTAATGACGCTGGGGAAACTATCAGCTGTTGCTCGCAATCACACTCACATAATTACAAATGGCATACCCAAATACAGTTTGTCTACACCTTTATCACGCAGCTGTGTGCTGTTGTCCTTCGAAGCCTGTCGCAATCACCTCCATATCTACCAAAAGCATATAAGATATCAGCGCCTGCATGTAGGCAACACCTTTCCTCGGTGAATTTCTAATAATGTGTACATTGTTTATTTGCCTTGTGTTCAGCTGCCAATTACGCCGATTACACAAATTGTATTATAACAATGAGGGGCAATGGGTAAATTTATTTGCATATTAACTGCCTACATATAATAATATATACAAACATGTATTTACATGTGCATATGTGGAGCATTTAATGTGGGTACCGACATAAGCATTGCATACATTAAGGCTCCAAGCGGTGTTGTCTTGTCTCACGACACTAGTCTGTTGCATGCCATCACGAAGCATTTGCTGTTCGCGTACATGTTAATGCAGTTAGTTCTTAGCGCATATGTATGCAAATAATGTAGTTACAAAAAACAACAATAACAACAAATGGATCAGTAAGTACTTGTGGCGTCTCGTATACGGGCCATCAGAACTGAATTGAGCAAATGAAGTTGCTCATTTGGTTGTAATCGATAAAATGTTTCAATTTAAGTATCCGTCGTATGCAGTTTACATATAAAAGAAGTCTTTTGTATTTAAAATATATATGTATAAAAATTATTAGTATAGCTTGAGGTATATTTTAAAAAATGCATTATTAAAAACTATTTTTATCCACATCATAAAACGCGAAACATGCCGTAATTACCACATTAAGTACTTCGTAATTAACGGCGTATAGCACATAGAAAGATATACTGAGGCGATCTAAGTTTTAAATATTGTTTAAATCTTGTAAAAGTATTGAATCAGTAGTATTATGTAATGTTGTTTACTGTAATTTCGAGTATTTGTATCATGGCTTTGATAAATGCATAATTTTTTATATCTTAGCGCCAAAAAGTAAGCAATTTTTTTTTCGCAGACTCGTAAAGTATATACATACATAAGTGATAAGTTTGACTACTTAGTCGATTGAGCCAGGTCCGTCTGTATTTCTGTATATACACGAACAAGTCACACAGTTTGTGAGATATGGATCTGAAATTTTGCACACGCCCTTTTCTTTCTAAGAAGCGGCTCATTTGTTGGAACAGATGTTATCGGACGACGTTGTATATATGTATCTCTATACAAACTGACCTATCGAAATAAATTTTCTTGTAAAATTTTTTTATTTGACCAGATATCTTCGCGAAATTTGGCATATGCTATTGTCCAAAGCAACTTTCCAATATTCAGATATATATTAATCAGATCAAGATAAAGACATTTTTATATCTTTTTGTGCTATAAGAAACCACATTATGCACCTGTGAGGGATAATGTAGCTTCGGTGCAGCAAAAGTTGACATTTGTTTTTTGTTTTTAAATATTTTTTCATATTTTTATATTTTAGAAAAACAATCAGTGAATGTTCAAAAAAACGTAAACCTGAGAGCCTAGACACCGCTAACATTTCTGCCACCTGGTTATATGGTATTTACGATGGGCATAAGTAATTTCATGAAATTCATGAAATATACAATAAAATATACGGTGTGATTTTTTTTCGATATTAAATACTATATATATACTACAACTATATATAAATATGATAATACATGTTTGATATCAGATTCATTTTGAATTAACTAATTACAATTACAATGCATTACTTTGAGGAGCTTTTACAAAAAACTTCACATTATAAACATTATTTATTTAAGAGATAATTAGTCAAACCCGCATTGTATGTATATGTAGATATAGACTTGTTGCCCATGTATTTGTAAGCTGAATTAAGCTTGTAATCCGCTTTTGCTACTCTACCCACA